AAATAAATAATATCTTATTGTTTATTATATATATATATATATATATATATATATATATTATATTTCCTATTATTTTACTTATAAATGTATATACATGAAAAATCTGAGAATTCTTTCGAGTCTGATAATTTTTAAATTCAGTTTTATAACATAGCTAAGTATCTCTCAAGACATTGTACTATATAAAAAAATAATTAAAAAATAAAATAATACGAAGAATTAGTTAAAAAAGTTATTAATTAATTAGTTTAAAATCGAAAAAAGTCAACTAGTGATCGCTAAATATCGTACTTAGGCACAACTCCCTTGCGATAATTTGGAGGTGGTACACCGTTGTTAAGTTGCGTCATCAGCTTATTAGCAACAGAAGTGCGTTCTTTATTTAATTTGATAAAATTAATCTCTTCTCTGGATGCTAGTGACACAGAATTTCGTAAATCAGTCTTCTGTAAATCTTCTGGACTATGCATGTCGCCTCTATCTGCAGGAGAATCGAATTGTTTTTTCGTGATTTTGTCTTCTTGCTTATTTAAATCGCCATTGCTTGCTATTTCATCATGCTTCGCATTTGTAACTTTCTTAGATGGATATCTATCGACAAAAATCAAACATCAATAAAAAAAATCTCTTATATTAAGTATTCACACAATTTGCTAATATTATTAATGTATTTTTATTAATAATAAATTTCAAAGTTAATTAAAGAGTCTTGTTTAAAGATTAAGATAAATGCTAATTATTTAAGCAAGGCAAAATTGCTAAATTAAATAAAATTAAGTTGGTAATGAATCAAAAATATTATTTTTCCAAGACTTTTATTAATTCTATTCTATATCTTAAAGCATAGTATTCAATATTATATATTATTAGTATCTTTTAGATCTGAGAAATTTATATCACAATAATACTTACCGAATAATACCTTCGGAGTATATATTTTCCATTTGATCAGTATCTAAGGTTTGTATCCCTTGACTTCTATATTTGACAGTGCTTTCCACATCCAAACCATTTGCATTATTAGATTTATACAAAACATCTGGTTCAGACAAAACCTTTGACTGCAGTTTTTGTGGACTCTTGTGTTTGCTAGTTTTCATTTGTCTACTTGATATATTATTGTTCATACTTGACCTAACAACTTTTTTACTAGGAGCAGCATGCTTTTTATCAGATTCAAATACATTGGTCCCATTCTGAGCTTGTTTGTCAATTTCCACTTTGTCAGTTGACACTGAATCTATATTATCACTTTCATGTTTCTTCTTCTCTCGGAAACTAGTAACCACTTTTGCAGGTACATTTTGGTACTTATCTGTACTCTTATGATGTTTATGCAGCTGTAATTTTTGCAGCTCTTCTACCTCTTTATTTGCTTGAAAGCATTGTTCCATTCGCCGAAGATTTTTCACATTCTCCTGAATGAAATTCTTCCTTCTGATTGGCTCTATCAGCAAATAATATATTCAATGTATTATCAATTATTTCTCAAGCACTCAAATTTGCAAATTGTAATTTTCTTTTTCTAAAATAAAATCTAGTGTTTTGTACTTATAAATGTTTAGTAAATAAAAGATATATATATACATTACTTACTGGGGTCGGGAAAAATACCCTTTAACGTCGTCACTTTCATCTTTCTGACAAAAAACGGTCTCTGCTAATATTGTCGCTTTACTACATTTACAATTTACATTTCGACGAAAGAAAGCACGTTTCGGAATATTCGATTGATGTCTCTTTACCACATAATTTTCGTTTCACGTTTACGTCGTTTTCATGCCGTTACCACATAAACAATTTTGTTTACATATCGGATGATAGCTGCATATAACCACAATCTGTCAAGCACGTCAGTATCGCCAACATCCAGGATAAAACTTTTTATTCGTGACAACGTGAGTCGGTCATGGTTTTTTTTATCGACAGATGATTACGAAAAATGCGTTTTAAATGAAAACTTTTTAATTAACTAATTACTAGATAGAAACCTAAAAGGAGCTATCCTAGTCTTTTTCGTGGGACCGTCGAAATCCCGTACACTAACATCCCCAAATTCAATTTTAACATATTAGAATTAAGCAGCCACTTTCATTTTCTGACACTGCCGATAAAATCCCATTCTGGTGTGTGTCCGCGCTAATTATACAATTACTAGATACATTACAGATCTACAATTCGTAGATCAAAAGTATGCTTATGTAATTACACATTTATTCACATTTGCGTAATTTTTTTATTATAAAATATAGTATTGATGAACATTAACATTAGTATACATATTTAGCATATGTTTAGATTTATATGCAAATATACAGATACAATAAAGATAATATATGATAAATATTTTCTTATTTTAAAAGTCTTTATAATTAGACTTTTTGCATATAATTATATGTTATGATTATTCTTATAACTTATTGTTCCTTAATTTAAATGTTTTATAATTATATTTTATAATTCATTAAATAATTTATAATATTTACATTATAGGAAATATATATTTATATATATTTAAAAATATATATATATATATTTAAATATATAATATATTTAAATATATAAATTTAAAAATAAAGAAACAAATACAAAGACCCTAAGAATAAAAATAAATCAAAACTATGCGATTTATCACTAAATTTAGTAAATCTTATGCATCAAAAATAAATATATAGTAAATGATGTAGCTTGAAATTTTGTAATGAACTAGAGAATATTTTTAATATATGCAATTTATACGGTTCTTTTATGAATAGAATCTAATGTAAAATTAATATATTCATAGCATATTAATTAAATTTTGTGGGAATATTAAAATATATTTTGCAAATATATCGACAAATATCGTCAAGAGTATTTAATATAATTTATTCTATTATAATAATTATAATAATATAATATAATAATAAAAAAACACTGTGATAATAGATTCACGATAATTACGAACAATTATTTTTATAATAAATAGTCTAATACAAATATCTTTAACATTGGATATTTTTAAACTCTTATTTTGCATTTTATTGTAATTTATATAGCATTCTATAATATATACATATATAGCGACAGCTAGTTTATTGTAACAATTATTTATTATAATACATATAAAATATACATACATACAAGATATTTACATATCTATCTTTGATTGTAACGAGTCTATTAAATAAAACAGCAAATGCATGATAATACATTATGAGGAAGATATTTAAAATGTAATGATTATATAATATTTACTGTTGAATCATCAAAATATTATAGCGCTTCGTATAGATATATTCATATTGTTGAATATTCGTTTTATGTTGAATATTTCGCACATTTAAAATATATATATATATATATATATATATATATGTGTGTGTGTGTGTGTGTATAATTGTCGCAGCCTTGAGAATTGTTTTACGCGCCGCGTAGCGCGCTCCATTGTGTATACGGCGAGTAATGCGTGTCGTGTTTACGAGCGTTCCACGTGCTTGTCTTCATTCATTTACTAGCGTTCGTACGGATAGCGGTGCGCGTCGCTCCGCGTTTCTTTGTGTTTTTCATTACCTAATGATATCAAACATTACTGTATTTTACATAAATATAATAATAGTAAATACTTATGAATGATTGATTAACAATTGATTAAACGTATCGAAGCAAAAACTTTTTAGCAAAGTATATACATATGTCGCGCGACTTATTCTTTTGAAATTTATGACTTTTATAAATAATAACTCCTTCGATGGGCCTTCCGTATTCCCAAGAGGAAAAAATTAACAGTACCTATTGCATCGTTACTAATAACATTAATATTAACGTTAGATAATATTAGATAATATTAATATTATTAATAATGTATCAAAATACGAGTCGTGAATGGCTCTAATGTGACAAATGCATTTCACTCATTAGTTGTCGATTTTTAATTGATCCACCGATTTCACCACCGATTTAAATCAATGAACAAATTGTAACCAAATTAATAATTCATAATCGTAATAATAATTCTTTAATGATATATATATATATATATATATATATCATTATGTATATATATATATATCATATATATATATATATACTATATGTATATATATATATATATATATATAT